TGGAATGGCCATCAGCCAGTCCGTCGCATTCCACACGATATCTTCTCTCGACTAAAATCGAGCTTTTAGCGGCATTTTCAGCTTGGGAAATAGCCAAAAGTCACACGGAGTCATGTGGGGAGAGTACGAGCATGACGAACCACAGGAGTGTTGTGTTTGGTGATGAAAGCCGAATCAGATGCGCAGAATGGGTGGATGCGTTATCATGATAGAGCTGCCAAGTTTTGATCTACCACAGATCCGGTCGTTTGCGTTGCACAGCATTGGAAAGACGACAAAGGACCTCCTTGTAGTACTCCTTTGCAATGGTTTGGCCTTGTGGTGTGTACTCACGATACACCACCCCATGAGAGTCGAAAAAACTGTCAACATGACCTTGATATTGCTGCGGACCTGCCGCGCTTATTTTGGCCTTGAGAATCATCCCGAAAGCCTGCTGAATCTTGTGAGTGGTTTACGCTTGGGTAGCGCAAAGGTTTTTGGCAAAATTTGATGTAATATCGCTGTTCACGTTGTTCAGTCGTTTTCCAACTTATGGAATCCGACGAGAGCTCACTACATGTCCTCACTCATAGGTCGACTGCCAACGACTGACGCTTCCTGCAGGCGGGAAAAAATTCAGGGCTGTGCATGACTGTCGCCTTCACAACTCCACCGAAAGAGGCCTCCTGCGCATCATTGGTTTACACGGAAAAAATAAAAGTCCGATACTTTTTGAACAGACTTTGTATTGTTATAGTAGCAAAGAATGTCCAGTGTTGCCCCAAAACTCAGGGAGAGGGTTAAGTTGTCCTCATTATAAGACAGTGTATGTTTCCTACAGAATGGCAGAGTAACTATGCAAAATTTGGTCTGAGTCAGTCAAAGGGTTTGGCAATTTGTGAGGATGAAATCAGGGAGGGAGTGAGGGTCCAATATATTCTGTTCAGTCAGCAATTTGACACAGTTCAGTCAATATAATTCTGGCTGAAATCATTGAGCTCCTTCCAAGCCCAAGATTGTCTGATGGCATCTGTACATTTTGTGTATTGAGTTATCAACAAGTGTAATGGTGTATTGCTTTTGTCTGCAAGGGTTACTGCTTTGTGTAATTGTGATGTTTCTTGTTTTCTGTAGAAAATCTCTTACAGTGTCTATATTTGTTAATCTCTTAGTGTCTATATTTACATGTTGTTAACAACACGTGATGAACTGATGCGTAATTTCCATGGCTTGTTCCGTCCGGTTATCTACATGCACTAAGTGTGTCATGCACCTTTTCCTGTATAGCTTTTCTTGTTATCCCCATCACACGTGCTTGATTGTCACACGAACATTGATTGTGTTGGTCTGTCTCTTTAAAGTATAGGGTTCACAGAATGTGCTAAGTTTTGTCATGCAGGACACAGATGATTGCCCTCTCAATTGTAAATTTTTGTTCCAACAAAAATCTTATGTATAATGTCTTTTAGTTTCAATGTATTTATTTGGTATACTACTGCTAATTTTGATGTTCTTCCTCCCTGGTAATGCTTACAGCAGGACCAGAGCATGTACAACTCATTTGGTACGAATAAATAAATTGATTGATTGTCTATATTTACATGTATTCCTTGGGAATATATCTGTCATGTAAAAATAGAATTGGGTGTATTTTGTATAGGTGTAGTGTATGTAATAACCAAGAGTGTAGATATTGTCTATGTCAAATATATTCCAATAATCTATGTATGCTACATATAGGTTTCTGTGTTGTTTGTGTGTTAGTCATAGAATGACTGAATTCATGAGTAACTGTTCTTTGCATCCCATGGGTTCTTATGACAGCCATCTTATTGCTCCATGAGAATGCTGTGATGTTCTATGTGATTTTGTTTGTGATGTGTGAAGTGAGTATGTTTTAGAGTGTAGAAAGGCCAATGATTAGTCTGTATTGCCTAGAGTTTTAAGTAGTGGTGTTTTTGAGTTTCATATATATGATGTCCTGTGTAAGAAATTTTAATACAGTAATACCCCAAACTTACGCAATAGGTGGGACCGAGCAATAACCGCGTAAGTCAGGGTATAATTTCGCAATTTGTGTAAAATCCAAGTCAGATGTATGTAAGCTAATAAAGTTCTCGTTAATCTTATCTCGTCTTTTGATTCATTCACGGTTACAAGAAATCATCACATAGAGTCTCTCAAGTCTCCATAGATATAACAAACACAGAAATAAATAACACAAAATAAATTGTAGCTATGTGTCGATTCCGTGCGACACGTCCGAACATGTAAGCCAAACAATAGTGTGGGGGGAGTGAGTAATCACGAGTTGCATGGCACTCAAACAAAAGACGAATCGACGAGATTTGAAAATTGCGTAAGTCGGGGTAGCGTAAGTCGAGGTATTACTGTATATCATGTGGATTCAGTATGTGTGTAAACTATTTGGCTAGATCCTGAACATATATATAAATTTTTTTTATACCAGAAATTGCAAATGTTGTCTACACTAGTTGTCTTTCGTGTGTTCTCTGTACTGATATTGGATGTCATGTATATTTATTATGACACAGGGCATGACTGGTGTCTTGTGCATGTTTTCTTCTTCCTCCCTGATCCAGCTAGCTTCATTTCTGTGTTATCGTATTGGACCAAAGAGCAGACTAATAATCTACGAGTTGATTTTCTGATGGTGTGCTCTGTAGGGTTGTGATTGTATAGTGGATTTAGTACAGTGGAACCCCGGTTAATGAACGCCCTGGTTAACAACCAAATTGGTTAACAAACTTTTATTTTGCAAAAATTTTGTCTCACAAGGGGATCTTATGGTCTCGGAAATTCAGTTCGGGATGAGACTTCGCAGGTTAGTAGTATACCTCAAGGGTGTCCACCCATAAGAATTGAAAAGCGCACTAGCCAGAAGATTCTGAGAAAAAGGGCTCTAAAGTTTTAAGCGCAGCTCATATACTGGTCGATTTTACACTATGGTAGCACAGCGAAATGGCTTAGTCTATAGATTGCCCGCACTTACAATGCGGGTAATCTATGTTTGATCCTAGCTTTAGCTAACTTTTTTTTTTTTAATTGTTTTAAAAATTATAACAACTTTTAAATAAAGTTAATGACCTAAAAATATTATCAATTAAATCATAAATAATTTTATTTATGAAATGACCATCTGCCTATGTACAATAGGATAACAGCTATACTCTACTCATCCACCTAGAAACCGGTTCCTCAAATTTACAACAAATATTTTTAACCTCTCCACAGCTTATAATATCTTAAAATTTGTACTGTAATAACTTTTTAATGACAATAGTAATTAAAGTTTTAATTTACCTCCATTAAAAATGCATTTGAAATTATTCTACTTTTTAAAAATAAAATATCTTTAATTCACATTTTAATTAGCTGTAATAGACATTTCATAAATAAAATAAAATTATTTATAATTTAATTGATAATATTTTTAGGTCATTAACTTTATTTAAAAGTTGTTATAATTTTTAAAACAAAAAAAAAAATTAGCCAAGGTTAGGATCAAACCTAGATCACCCACGTTGCAAGTTTGCTACAGAATCAGCCATTTCGCTGCACTGCCATAGTGTAAAATCGACCAGTATATGAGCTGCGATTAAAACTTTAGAGCCCTTTTTCTCGGAATCTTCTGGCTAGTGCACTTTACAATTCTTATGGGTGGACACCCTTGATGTATACTACTATGAATTTCCAAGACTATAAGATCCCCTTGTAAGTAGAAGCATAGAAGAACAAAGCATCCAGGTCATCCATATCCCAACTTTGAAAGAGATGGCGCAATTAATATGCTACACATCTTTTTTTCAATTTGAGGGCGAACTATACCTGCAAAAATGAAGTGTCCCAATGGGTAGTTCTATGGCAGGATTATTTTGTGAGCTAGTGCTAAGAAGTATGGAAAGTACCCTCATTCCTAAAATCCAAAATAACATTTTACTATATAAACATTACATTGACGATGTAATAATCATATGGAACAAAAAACCAAACATACAGCAGTTTGTCAACACCATCAACAACAATCCATATGTGTTGACAATAACCTTAGATCAGTTCAGTAATGTGACGGCACATTTCCTCGATTTAAACATCACCCTAGTGAATGGCGAAATCCATACGAGTATTTATCTTAAACCTACATAGCACCCATTATACATATCTAGCTGAATACCTAGTTCAAATGATCCACCCAAATATCAAATGGCAGCATTTAAGGCCCTTATCAAAAGAACATATACCCACACTACAGACATAAGGGACACCATTAAAGAGTTGAACAGAATCAAAAGCATCACAGCTACACACGGGTACATCCATATCATGGTTGATTATTTAATTAACACATACCCAGATCTCACAGGAAACCAAAACACCCTCCATCCATAATCGCTCCTGTAACATATAATAAATTATTAGATAAAACCTATAGAAAAACATCAGATTGAGCAGCAGATCCAATAGATCCAGACACGACCCCTGGGGACAAGATACCAGTCAATCTAGGTCTGAAAAACAAAACAAGCAAATACATAGGATACACTTCCAGAAACCTCCCTTACAAGACTTAAAGAGCATCAATATGATGTACGTAAAGGCAAAACCACAACTGCCCTAGCTATAATAGCCACTGTACCAGAAAATACACCAAACTTTAACAAAGCTAAGTTTTTAAAAACAATAGGGAATCAGCAAGCAGGTAAAATGCTTGAAAAATATATAAGCACAGTGTCAAGAATCTGTGCATAAACCATAAGGATGCCATTTGTTTATCAGCAACTTGGAAGTACCTTCTCAATGCAGTGAACAGACTAAAGACTATAACAAATATTTCATTTACACATTTATTTACAGGGTTCCTACTCAAATTTTTGTTTTGAATTCCCTGACTTTCCCTGATTTTCCCTGACCAACTTTGTCCAAATTCCCTGACCCTCACATTTTTTAGTGTGGAATATCGACATAATAAAACAGCATTTACTGTTAACATTGAGTACATTTAGCCCCCTTTTTGCACAGTTGATATGCTTCAAAGACTGCCACATNTCCACTTAAAATTCCAGTTGTGAAACACCGTTTAAAGCATGGTATTTCTGCCAAATTCCTTCCAAATAATGAAAACTAGAATGAAATAAAAATAGTTGATTTTAAATTAGATTATTTAATTAATGATTAAATAAGTCATAATGAGAAATATTAAAATATTTGAATACTTTAACACAACTTTTATAGTATTTTTTATTGAGCAAAATAATGATTCAATATTTTCTATCATTTACTTAATAAAAACTAAAACTACAAAATATTTAAAAAATTGTTTATATTAATTTTATTTGTTTTTTCAAAACTTGTTTGCATTGTGATTACAAATAATTTTAATTAATTTAAATAATTTGGAACCGCTGGGAGAAAAAATCGGCCCGGAGCGGGACTCGAACCCACAACTCCTGCTACCTCTAGTACCAAATTGTGATTACAGTAATAACTCAGTTTTCATTGATTTTTTCTGCAAAAAATTTGTCTCGGTTTTCATCAGTTGCTTCAGATTTCGTCAGTGTGCCCCGAATTTTGTCACTGTGTTCACGTGACCTCCTGCTAATTTTGCGAAAACATAGGACAACCCAGGTTTTTTCCTGCTCAGTGTGGTGGCATTTCTCATTGTGTGAGCATTACCCTGTGCGTCTAGCCAAACAATTCCATTGCTTTTCTTTCCTTTTAGCTCCATCATGGGATCAAAGAAAGTTTTCAGAGCCATAGTGCTTTGAATGTCATGTTACATGCTATTTTAAATGTTTATTTATTCTCTACAATAGTTTTTTATATTCATTTTATATTAATTTCTTATTAATTTTAGTATTAAACACAATATTTATTTTCTCTATAAAATGTGTTTTTGGTATATATTTTGGAGTGTCTAGAACAAATTAATCGGATTTACATTGATTCATATGGAAATAATTGCCTCGGTGTTTGTCGGTTTTGGATTTTGCCGATTGTTTTCGGACAGATTATCGACGAAAACTGAGGTATCACTGTATATACAGGTAAAAATATTCAATAGTCAAGCACTTTTATATAAAGCCATTTAATGGCATCATAAAGCAAGAAAATAAGAATTTGTAAATGTGATAATGTGCAAAGCACCCCTATGCTTCTGCACCACTTGACTGAAAGGTTGACATCACTTCAGCGATGACTATGTCAGGATAGAAGACATCACACAGCAACTAGGGTTGTTTTTGGTTTAATCTCAGTGTTTTTGTTGTGAGGTCACACAAGAGGTTGCTTGCACAGGCATTCGAGTTCGGGATGGAGGAAATCTGAGAGACAGTGAGTAATGTGGAGGAAATTGGAGAGATGGCATGTCGGAAGTGATGCATTCAGATGCCAGGTTAACATCTAATAACAGTTTATTTTCAAAGAAAATGAGTACATGATACAAACTTCCTAAGATATTAAATAATCCTTAATATTCCTAAGATATTAATAATCTGGATCTATATAACGTAAGTGGTCATGAGAGAGAGTTTACAATAAATCATGCATTGGTGTAAATACCTGGGGTTTTGGTCAGATCGTTTAAAAAAAAACAGGTGAAGGTGATGGGTTGGACTATCCATTACTTGATTTACCACTAGAGAAGGTCAGCATGTTGGGAATGTTCAAGAAGCAGTGACACACTACCATTGGGTTTGAGGCTATTCCATATTCGGAGAGGATGGTAATCTGTATTCAGAGGCACAAAGTTCTATGTTGGTTGAGGAACAGGCAACAGCTTGTTGTGTTGGGGAGGAATGGGTGGTGACTGCCATTATAGAACCAGGTGAAGACTGTAACCATTGGAGGAACAGGCAGCGACTGCCCCCATTTGGCCATCAGTTCTGATATTAAAATGGTAGTGCATGGCTGGAGGTCAAAGGATCACGGGAAAGCATTGCTTTCACCACCAAGAACATGCAAACTGAGAAGTTCTCAGATAGTAAAAGGGTAATCAATAACATTAGTTGTCAAAATAGATATGATGAAATCAAAAAAAGATTTTTGTTAAAGTCTGGATTCTCACATAAATCAACATAATAATTTTCAAATACAATCAAATTTCCATATTATAAATTTCACTTTTTAATGAATTTTTAAATATTAAAAACATTTTTTTAAACATTTCAAAATATCTTTATTTAATGTAATTTAATTTTTACATAATGAATTTTTGAAAGCCAAATGAAATAACAATTTTTTTTTATAGATATTAAAATTTGTTAAAATCATTAATTTCTACAACTGTTACCATTGGATGGTTGATACAAGTATAGTACAATATCCGTAGACTTCTTTACTGTACTCCTAAAGACATCAAAGCATTTTATCCAGAGGTAATTTCAAATAAATGATATTTTTGATACTTTCAAAACTGTAAAAAATGATTTCTATCAGGATGATGATAAGAACTTCCTGATGGAAGATTTGTTTATTTATGTAAAATTAGAATAGTTTGAATTCATATGCCTTTGTATCCTTATTATATGATTTATTACATAAATGTCTACTAGGACATAGCATATTAGTAGGACTTATTGTACTGGGCTGTGTTCAGTAACACAGAACACCTAAGTTAGAATTCTGAGTGGCTTGAATGTTTTGAGCATCATTGAATGACTATTCTTTGTTAGACAACTAGGCAAAATGGCAGACGAAGTGAAAATTATTATTGCAACAATTGTTGCAATAATAAGTAATTAATTTAATTTCTAAATCATTTTGATTTTAATATAGAGAATTAATGTTATATTTTCAGACAAATTGCAGACAGATTTGGGGTATGGAAAAGTACTGCTCATTATATAATTTCTGCTATTAAGGCAATTGCATCACATCAGCATGCTTTCATACATTGGCCAGAATTATATCAATACAAGTCAATTGCAAATGATTTTGAATCAAAAAGACACTTTCCAGGAGTTTTAGGTACCATTGATGGTACATATATACACTGTAAATCTCCAATGAATCGTAGGAATGCTTTTGTCAATTGCAAAGGTGATTCATCAATTTTTCCCCAAGCAGTCTGCAATTTAAAGAAAGTATTTTTGGATGTATTTGCAGATCAAACAGGTTCTACACACGATGCTCGTGTATTTCTCATCAGTCCTCTTGGACAAAGATTAGCAAATGATCCTAACTTTGTACCCTCAGATTACCATTTACTTGGTGATTCTGCTTATCCATGTACAGTTTATTGACATCTTTTAGAGACAATGGTGATTTATCTCCACAAGAAAAACATTACAGTTATGTACACAGCTCAATGCATGTAGTTATTGAACAAGCATTTGGTATTTTAACAGCAAAATTTCACAGACTTAAATATATAGACAAAAACATGCATTGACTTAGTCCCTAATGTTATTATTGCATGTTGTTGTTTGCGTAATTTAATCTATACTAATATTATAAAGAGGTAATGTTTGTAAGTACATTTGGATGTAGCGGGTAATCTCCGAAACTACTCATCCGATTTCAAAAATTCTTTCACCAATATTTAGAATGGAACTTCAGGGTGGACATAGGCTGTATATTATTCCGGTAAACATTCATATAAATTAAAAGATATCATCTAGGTTAAGGCTTTTATGTCCAACAGATGGCGCTATGAGTACAACGCCCTAAGTTTGCTTTTCTGTGAGGCATTATGCTTTTCTGTGAAAATGAACTAAAGCAGATCATCTATCTATCTATATAAATAAATAAAAATGTAATGTTCATTTGTTCCTACCGATTCCTTTGAAATTTTGACACAACGCTGCATTCAAATAGGCACGTGTTTTTATATAATATACGTGTCGAAATTCCCCCCACTAGGGGGATAATTAATAATAATACAAATTTAAGTTGAGAAATTTACAGGATTAAGGCTTACCGTAAAGAACTCTGCTTCTATTTATACTATTTTAGATGTGGTCTTTTGCGTTTTTGATTGCGTTTTAATAGGGTACGTCAAGAGAATGTACACTAAGAAGGGATATTTCAAAAAATTCCCCCCACAGGGAAAGTGTTATACATTTATAATATATACATTTTGAGCCACAACAATGCGTGGTGGGGTCTGCTAGTATTGAATACAGATGGAAGCATCTGTGATTATGATATTGATGATGATGATAAAAATAAATCTTATCAAATTATGAATGATGATTCAATTTCAGGAAAATCAAAAAGAAATGAAATAATGAGACTGATAATATAGAAAGTAAGTATTTTAAATAATGCATTCAATTTAATACTTTTACAAAGTTATAGAATTGTTTTTCTTTAAAGTTTTGTAAATTAAAATTATTATTGTAGTAATAAACTGTTTTAAAAATTATACAGCATGTTAATTCATTATATATCAGTTATCATATATATACACTGTATAACAGACTTATAATGTTTTAATTTCTTAACTTAAATTTGTATTATTATTTTGAAATTTTATATACATAATAATAATAATAATAAATTTTTAACATTGTTTTGTGTTGTTTAATATTTGATAAGATATTTATACACAATTTTTGAAATCAACTGCATTATTCAAATATTTGAAATATGATCATATATATTGTTTCACTTGCACTTTTAATACATTCAGAATTTTTGACAAAAATATTTTAAAATTTTCAAATATGTTCATTTCAGTTGAAACTTAAACATAGGGTCAATGTGAGTAAATATGACACAGTCTGAAAAATGGGAAAATATGAGAGTTGTGAAATTTGACTTAATTTATGTCTGATCTGTCCTGTACTAATACAATATTAGGTTTATTTAGTGCTTTTTAACATATAACTTTTCTAAATGAAAATGACTATGATTTCATCAAACCTTTTTACTTTTTAAGAAACACTACAAAAATAGGTGAAAAAACTTTTCTGTCAGTTCAACTAACTTTAGTTCTGTATATGTCTGCAAAAGATGTGTAGCGTATAAACACAGCTTTCAGCTGCTAGTTGTTTTTATTGCATATATCATCTTTTGTCTGAGTTTTGTGCATTTCAAAATGAGATAAAAAATGAGACACCAGATTTTATTCACCAGTCATTAATTTCCATGAAACTTTTTTACTTTAGTTGAGCTGTATCATATTAAAAATATTTTTTTGTTCTTATAGGTGTGAGTTTTGAATGAAATAATAAACAATGCCAAACAATTATCAGAGAAAAACTAAAATGTAGGGTCACTGTGGGTAAATATGAGACACTTTTCAAAACTGATGACTGTTTAATCTTATCTACTTACTTTTAAATATCATGGAGCAATGTTTTATACAAAAATGTCTTGCATTTAACTTGTAATACTTAATTATTAACTTCCTTGTTGGCATAGGCAAGTCCTTATGGTGATATAATGGATGGCTCATTTTTCACCTCCCAAAATGTCTCATATTTTACCCTTTGAAGATAAAGTATGAGACAAGGGAAAAAATCTTTTGCTCAACATTTTTCATACAAATGAATACTCCATTAGATTTTAACACCATCTGTACACCTTGTCATGTATTTCTCTTTGTGTATATGCATAAATGCATTGTAGTAATGTATATGGTGAGTGTGGCTCAATGTCGATCATCCCCAATTCCGAAAAATTAACAAAAATATAATTTTAATCAGTAACATTTGTGAGTAATGGATTGAATGGACGTGTTTAAAATGCATTTTAATGATGTAAAAGTGTTTTTAAAAATTGTTTTATACATTCAAATTCTTTTGCATTTCCACTTTAGCAGATATTAAAGTCGAGCTGAAATTATCACGCTTGTTGCAAAAGAAGCTATACTTTCACATCATAAAGAAATGAAGACACGAATATACATAGAAGAAATCACCAAGGCTAATTGTCAATAACTACTCTGTACCTTTTCGTTTCTATCTTTCCCTTCTCTCAGTTATTACAACGGCATGTTGCCATTAATTAAAACATAAACATTCTTATAAGAATATATATACCTTCCTCGATCCACTATCATCTTCCATGCTTCTATTCTTTTTCAGTTACTAGCGCCATCTGCCAACTGAAATTTAAACAATTTTTCTTCTCCACTAGACAATTTAACAGGGATGTGGAGTCGCGTAAAAATCTACCGACTCCGACTCCGTCTCCGACCAGGGGCGGACTTGTTACCGAAAAGACCCGGAAATTCTGATGTCATCACGTGACCTCAGAATAAAAGATTCAATAAACAGAGTACAGAGTTCTAATAAAGATAGAGCGTAGAAACTTCTTATTCGTAAGTTAAAACACTTCTCTAAGTAATATATACATATGTATTCGATAATTTTTACTTTTCCGGCTGTTATATATGACAGAGGAAAAGTGTAGCGCTCGGTCAAAAAAAATGACCCCTCCCAAATTTTTACATTTTTGGACTCGGGACACCTTGAAATTTCGAGATCTGCAAAAGATTCGAGGTTTTTTTCTATATGTGTGGATGTTAGACTATGTGTGGGGGGCACGATTTTGTTCACCCTGTTTGAAGCCTAATAATTTCTGTGGTCAGAGTGGTCGGAATCGGAGTCAGATGGTTTAACACAGGAGTTATTTATGACTCCGACTCCACAGCCCTGCAATTTAATCAAAAATTTGCAAATTTTGCGGAAAATCCACTACACTTGACGAGCGAAGGTGGTCAGGAGGTGTTTCGATATTCGTTCCGTAAACTAAAAATCTGCTAAATCTAGCTTTTCTGCAGCATCACCTAGCGGCATAAAAGCTATAGATCTTTATAGAGATCCAGATCCAGTTCCAGTAGGAACTGGAACTATTAGAACTGATCCGAGTGAGAAATTGGTTGCTTTCAACAGACTCAACACTTCCGGAGTTGTTGAGTATTTTTCTGCTGAATGCCGTCTTTCGGAACACATTTGGTGTTTTGATGTCACATTTGGTATCATTTACGCTACCTAAAACTGACCAATGAGGCTTTTTGTTCCAATGCAACGTCACTCATCGTTCAGCAGATCCATGTTGCTACTACGTAACAGCTACCGATTTACTCATTAACTGAACTCTAATAGAAGTATAAATTATTAAAATATCTTTATAAATTTAAAATACCCAAAACTAGTTCGTTATTCCTTAAAAGTCGTGGAACATTGTCAATTAGTTTTATGTTCAAATCCAGATAAAGAGTTCACCGTTCCGTTAAAAACTGTATTCATAAAAGTACAAAATGTGTTGGTAGTTCCGGAACTGGAATTGTCTGGACGCTCGATGTAGTTTTGAGTCCGAAACGGTTCCGACCGGAACTACCCACTTCTAACTCTGGAATATTTGAAATTAGAATCGTTCAAGTAGAAACATGCTTCTACTTCAATGTTGAATGCTTCTCCTTTATTGGATACATACAGAGCCGGTCCTACCATAGAGCGAACGGACCAGCCGGTCCTACCATAGGGCGAACGGAGCAGCCGCTCCAGGCGCTAAGTCCTAGCGGACGCCTCAGTAGTAAAGAAAATTAAAGGAAAAAATATTTTTTTCACTTTTCGATATTTTAATTGCAAGCGTGTGACCAGTATGTGAATGGCCTTATCTGTTGAGATGCGCATGGATCGAGTTCGTGGTACACCCCGGGCGCCATAATAGGATCTCGCTCCATCCTAAAACTTTCCTCGGGCCGGCACTGGATACATAGTCCTATTCTAATTTTGAAAAAATTTGATTTCATTATTCTAGTTTTATTAAATTATAGATCACTTATTTACCAAGATGTCTATTAGTGATAAAACAACTATTATACGAACTGAAAAACTAGATGTGTAGCCTACATGACTTGTTTTGCCCATATTCTACAAAATTGTACGTATTATTTGATGTTACCACCAAATTATATCGAAAATCCTGCAATTATTTTTCTTGTGAGATCTGATATCGATCATATACAAATTCTACATAGCAATGATCATTGGATTTGCACTTATTATGACAAAAAAGTACAGTAGAGCGTCATTTATCCGAAACGTCAGTAATCCAGCGTTGCCACAATGGAATTTCAAAACGTACTGAAGCTCCTTCAAAAAATGTACTATTTTCCTTCAAAATGTACTATTTCTATGGTTGGTTACTTTTGATATTAACATACCATCATACTCAATTTTTGTGCTTATTTCAAATTCATATTCATGAATACTTTGTTAAATATGAATACTTTAAAATTAAATATTTCATAAAAAGATTTTATGAAAATAGTTTCCATAGTTTTTTTTATTAAATATAGCAGTAAATGTTGATTTTTTTAAAATATTATAGTAAAGGATAAAATATATATATATAAATTAAATATGCGCAGACAGATTCAAATTAAAAAAGTTATTTCTTTTACCAATATTACTAAAATTGAAGTTCATAATTAAGAATTAAATTATAGTGGTAGAAAATAATATAAAAGTATTTATATTATTTGTACTGTACAATTTCAAAACTATTTTGTGTAATAATTCGACTCTGACTTAACGGCTATTTTGATATTATTGATGACAAAAGTTTAAAATCATTGATTT